CTGGCTAGGAAAGGGATTCCCTTCCCCCTTGCGCTTCCAGGTGGGCAATGCCTCGCCCTGCTCAGCTCTCGCTGCGTCGGGCTGCAGCAGCTGACCAGCACCCGATCGTCCGCACTCCCCTATGTAACAAACCTGCACATTATGCACATGTACCCTACAACTTAAAGTATAATAATAATAAATAAATTAAAAAAAAAAAGAAAGAAAAACCGAGTCCGTCACTCCCTGTGCAGTGCAGAGAAGCAGAGTCCGTTACTCCCTTTGCACTGCCGCTTTGAATAGCGCCCCTCCCTGGCCTCAGGAAACCGCAGAGAAAATCTCCCATTCCCAAGGTAGGAACTGCCTCTCCCCTGTTCCCATGGGACCTTGATGACAGGGTTATCACAAGTCTTCAAAGAAGCTACCAATCCGGGGTGAAGCACTTCCCAAAACTAACCTCAGCAGGCAAAGCAATCATCTCGCCAAAGAAGCCCAGGCACCGCCCAGGGGACAGTCCCATCCCAGGTTTCACGGAAGGGAAGGTGCACCTCGAAAGCCCAGCTGCTGCCCCCCGCCCTGTGTCAGCTGCCTTCACAGCCAGGGAGAAAGTTACCTTGAAAGAAGCGGCTGCTGGGCTGCACGGCTGCGGCAGAGGAGAGGGCCAGCCACAGCACCCTGTCGGCGCCCTGGGCCTCGGAGCGCAGGTGGTCCCTGAACCTGGCGTGGAATCCCAGCATGCATCGCGTGCCTCACACCTGGGAGAAGGAAGGGGCAGGCAGATTAGGACAACATTCTCCAGCAAATGTGGTTGACTTCCCTTAATACAAAAAAAAAAAGTGTAAAAATGAAATGGAATCATAAACTGCTATATTTGACAATAGCACTCACCCAAGCCACTCGGAACCAATTCCAAAGAACCTCGTTACAAAGCCCCCAAGGTGTCATCTGATGGAAAGTGCTGCTCGCGGGAGCCTGATTGAGTCCCCATGTCCCCGGGGCACCAGCACCCAGCCCAGCCCCGAGAGCACAGTCGCCCGCAGAGCCCCCCTTTCCATCCTGAGAGGATTCTAATGAGCTGCGAGGCTCACCGTGAGGCTGGGCCGAGCAAACCACTCAGCCTCCTGGGGTCAGGAGCCCTCTCAAATCATCCTAGGCTCGAGGATCCTGACTGTTGGTTCCTTGGACTGTTTTAGTATTTTCCTCTTTCTAGGGAGGAGTAGATAAGAGGAAAGAATTGTTCACTTCCTCTGCCAAGCCCCTCGAGGTGTCCCACCCTCTGCATCCCAGGGCTACAGGGAGGTGTTTGCCTGGAGTAGCCTCCGTGGCCTGTGCCGCTGGTGGCCCTGCATCGGCCGCTCTACCTGCCCACGCCTTCGAGGACCCAGCCACACGCTCTGGCTCCAGTCCACACCCCATTTTCCCACAGACCTCAGGGAACACAGTGTCTCCACAGTGAGCACATTGGGAAACAAAATAGTTCCCTCTCGAAGCCAAGGAAAGAAAATAAACCACAGAAAACAACAATTAAGAGCTGTACCGAGATCCTGGAATTGTAGAGCTAGAAAGATCACCTAAGCAAAAGCACTCCTTTTTTAAATTAAAAATAAACATCTTTTTTTCTTTTCACAGAAGCAATACTTGTTTATTGTAGAAAAATCAGGATAAACTGATAGGCAAAAAGAAAAAATTTGAAAACCTTGTGGTGTGTCACTCAGAGGTGACAAATGTCCGTATGCTCAGCCCTCTCAGGCCCCTGTGGCCACAGACAGGTCATGTGCACCTGAGAGCTGCTCTATATATGACCTCTGAACAACACATGGTAAACCGCACCTTGACGCAGATAATAGAGCCCAGTAGTGGGCTTGCCAGGCAGATTTTAAACATCTGAGCTGATGTTGGGATTGTCAGAATGGTATCCTTGGAGGGTAAGAGGCTGGGGTCCCCCACAGCCTCCTAGAATTCACCCTGGACAGGCAGAACCAAGTATGTCTCCCATTAGGCAGTAAGAAGAATCGAGAAGCCATGCTCTCTGAGCACTCCCAGCCTGAGTCTCCCCTGGTATACTTTGCTGAGACCATCCTTTTTGTATTTAAGATAGGAGCCTCAGATCTATACAGCAGAGGACTAATTTCTGCCAAATCTCCAAGCTGGTCTCCATGAGATGCCACAAAGCACCAACATATACCTTTTTCTATAGGGGTGTGGTAGTTACAAAAATAAGATCACGAGGCATGTACTATTCAGGAACTCGGTATCTTTATTTAATGATATAGTGCACACAGGGTTTTTCCATAGGCATGATTGACAGCAGAGTCTTCAGCCCGGAACAGATTTTGCACAGGTGTTCCATAATTTATTAACTTCATCTCCTACCACCAGCACTGTGATAAGCAACCTTGTTTCCCCTATCTTTATTTCTTAGGATGAATTCCAAGGCTTCTGATAAATAGTGGTTTTCAGAAAGGCCATGCCAGCGGTGTGTGAGAGCCTGATTCCCAAAACCCCATGGCCAGGACCAGCTGGGAGGTCTTAGCTTCTCTGGGCCTCAGTTCCCTCATCTGTAAATGGGTGTGATAATAGACAGTAGTGGCCACCCCACAGGGGCTTGAGGACAAATGAGTTAATCCGCAGACAGCGCTGAGACCAGCTCTTAGCGCCGCGGGTGCACCCTGGGGTGTGTGCTGTGGCTGCTGCTGCTTTCAGTTCCCTTGTTCGTGGAGGAGGAAAGAGCTGCAGAGAGCCCAGGTGAGCAGCATGAGGTCACGGAGTTGGTGAGGCAGATCTGGAAGAGAATTCTGCTACCCTCCACTGCTGCTCCAACACGCTTCCAGATCATTCGAGCTGTGTCCTTGTGGCTGTCATTTACCTTCATGCATCATTATTTCCAAAAACCTGGGGAGTGGTGAGGCAGCCTGGGCCTCTCCCACTCCCTTCCTCAGCCCCTGCTCATTCCTCTCTGATGTGGAAATGACAGTGGTCACCAGCTCCCTCTCTCACCAGGATACACTGTAGTTAGGAGGGTGCCCCAGCCGCACCCGCTCCCGTTCCCACCATCCCCTTCCCTGACTTGCACAGGGCAAGCTGGAAGCAAAAGCTCTGTGTCTGCGTGAGGCTTCCCCCAGCTGCAGTCCCAGCGCGCCCCTGCCTGAATGGAAATGAAGCTACTCCCCAGTCCTCATTACGCTGGTTTTAGGTCATTCCTAGGGAGAGTCAATCCTGCGGCTGCTCAGGTATTTTTAGATGAAACATAAGTGGCTCAGCAATTAAAGGCTATGACATACCTGAGGTGTCGGCCCAGCCAGGATGCATGGAAGAAAAATGGATGGCCGGGTGCCCTAGGGCCCACCGCGCCGTCAGAACCACTTGCTGTCTCTGGACAGGAGCGAGGGGGTGAACAGGAGAGAGGAGGCGCCATTAGGTAAAGGGCAGGAGAAAAGCCCTGCCCAGCCTGGCTTATCTTACACTGGACTCTGCAGCATGTACAGCCGCTTGCTGTCACCCTCCTCCAGAATCAGTCTTTACCCAGCATCCCTGAGTAGGACCTAGCAGGTCCTGCCCACTCCAAAGGAGGCGAGAACAAGCAATGAGCGAACCCAGCAAAACGCTGAGAGAGAAGGAACAGCAGACCCTCCCCCATGAAATAACACCGCTCAGCACCCAGGTGTTCCTCGTCCACAAGGTGCCTGGGTGACTGTTCTTTGCTGCTCACTGAGGGCAGGGATGGTACCTGTTCTGTTCACTGCTGGACCTCAGGCCCCCAGCACAGACTGGCATAGAGTGTGTGTTCAGCTAATATGGGAATTAAGGCGTGGAGCGGTGGCTCAAGTCTGTAATCCCAGCACTTTGGGAGGCGGGCGGATCACCTGAGCTCAGGAGTTCGAGACCAGCCTGGCCAACATGGTGAAACCCAGTCTCTACTAAAAATGCAAAAATTAGCTGGGTGTAGTGGCGGGCACCTGTAAGCCCAGCTACTCGGGAGGCTGAGGTAGGAGAATTGCTTAAACCCAGAGACGCAGGTTGCAGTGAGCCTGTGTGTGTGTGTGTGTGTGTGTGTGTGTGTGTGTGTGTGTATGTATGTGTATATATATATATTAATTAACTCCTTCCTTAGGCAGACTGTAGCAAATGTACTGGACACAGAGAATACATCAGTTATAGACAATAAAAATCTTTAAATCCTCCCCTTTTCCAGCTGCAGTCACGCTATTGCCCCATCCCAGGGTAGTTTGATCATGCTTGGCAAAGAACTCCATCTCTGGGCCTCATTTACAAGTGGATGGTTTATTCCCATGTCCTCTGGGAAAACTGTAAAGAAGTGCCGGTCTTTCAAATGTCAGGATTTGGAGTCGTGAGATGTCATTCACCAGGATTTGGTCCGGGGTCAGGGAGCAAAACTGGGGCACACCCGGGACATACAAGCGGAAGAAGTGGAGGTGCAGAGAGTCTCAGACAGGGCCACCTTCGGAAGGCACACAGCACCGACGAGGAAGGCGGAGGGTGCTGGCAGCCTTACAGACAATGTGGGCGCCCTACCGGGTGAATTTAAGGGCAAGAACTGTAAATATGGAAGTTATATATATCCGGCTTTTAAATGTAGCTGTAATAAGCAGAGATACAGCAGTACAGGTTGAGCATCCTTCATCTGAAATGCTGAGGCCCAGAAGTGTTTCAAGTCTCAGATTTTTTCAGATTTTGTAATATCTGCATATACATAAGGAGATATCTTGGGGATAGAACTCAAGTCTAAACACAAAATTCATTTATGTGTCATATATGCCTTCACAAATAGTCTGAAGGGAATTTCATACAATATTTTTAAAATAATGTGCATGAAACAAAATGTGTGTTCATGAAAAGCATCAGAAAGCAAAGGTGTGGGATCTTCCACTCGTGACATCATGTCGGCACTCAAAATGATTTGGATTTTGGAGCATTTTGGATTTGGGATTTTCAGATGAAGGATGCTCCATCTGGAGAAATCGACTTTCTGTTCAGAGTAGTCAAGGGTTCTGGACTGTGGCCCCTTCCCTCCCTCAGAATCCAATGTGCAGCCCCTCCCAGTGGGCCTCCAGGGAGCCAAGAGCTGCCCAGAGGAGAGAGGAGGGACCACTCGCCGCCCTCATTCCCTCTGAGCAGCTCAGGGTAATGGATCCCCCTGCTGGGATCCTGTTCTGTGTGGGTCTGAGAAACACCGAGAGGAGATGTCGCAGCTTTGTGGCTGCTCCCAGGATGCTGCTGAAAGCCCACCTGGGTCTGAGCAGAGCTGTGCTCCCCAAAGGGGAGCCCTCTTGGTGAGGAAACATTTTCAGGTGCTGCATGAACTACTATGGTCCAATTAATGTGCATCCCAGAGCAAGCATCCCTTGGAAAGGGCCCACGCAGCCCGTGGGTAAAATGCAGTCTCGGGAAACCCATCTCACTGACCTTGTTTTGTGCATAGACCGTAGTTCCATCAAATGCTGTTCTTTCGCACTGAAGATCATTGGTGTTCAGTTTCTGAACCAACATTCCTCCTGAGGAGACGGTTATCTGCAATAAAGGTAACAGAGATTTACAAACTAAAGCCTGTGACCCCTTCCACTCTTCACCCTCTGTGGAGCAGTGCTTCTTGCTGTTGTGACCAATGACCAAAAAATTAGTGGCCTGAAGAAACACACGTATTCTCCTACAGTATTCTCCTACATGTATTCTCTACAGTTTACCTACGATGTTTCTCCTGGCAGTATTCTCTAATGTATTCTCTACATGTATTCTTCCTACAGTATTCTCCTACAGTATTTTCTCCTCAATGTATTCTCCGTACATGGTATTCTCCTACATGAATTCTCCTACGTATTCTCCTACCTGTATTCTTTACAATGTTATTCTCTCAGATTTCTTCCTCAGTTATTCTCTCTACATGTATTCTCCTACATGCTATTCGTATGGTCTGGAGCCCAGAAGTCTGAGGTGGGGCTCATGGGCTAAAATCCAAGTGTCAGCAGAGCCGCGTCCCCTCTGCTGGTTTCAGAGGAGACTCCATTCCTTGCCTTCAATTTCTAGAGGCTGCGCCAGCACTCCTCGGCTCACAGCCACGTCCTCCACCCTCTGCTTCCATGGTCAGTTTTCCTCTGAGTCCCGCCCTCCTCCTTTTCCCCATAAGGACCCTTGGGACTCCATCGAGCCCACCTGGATACTCCAGGACATGCTTCTCATCCCAAGACCCTGAACTGAACTGCAGCTGCCAAGTCCCTTCTGCTATATAAAGGTGACACAGTCACAGGTTCTAGGATTAGGAGATGAACTTTGGGGTGGGGGGTGGCAGCGATCATTATTCTGCCCACCACAGCAGAGAGAAGGCAGCCTACATTAACTGTCTTCTTCCTGCTTTCTCCCAGTTTATGATATTTCAACCCGCTGGGGGAAAACAGGCTCCAATAGCCAGTCCCCTCCCCTCTGAGCAGGACAGTCCTCAGAAATAGCAGCACCACCCTGACCTGAGCGCCCCACAAGCCGCCCCGGCCCTTCGGAGGCCTCCCTCCCCAGTGCTTTGCCGACGCCCATGTGACAGCCGGAGTGGGGGTCGGGGGTTGGGGGAGTTCAGAGAGGGCTGGGGTCTGAATGTGCTCTTGGCATGCCTCTGCCTCCCTCTCGGCCCCCTGACAGAACTGGGGTTTTGCCGTGGATGTGGACAGAATGGCCCCCGTAGGGCAGCCTGGCAGCAAACCGAGGCCCACTGACTTCCTATCCGGAGCAAAGTCCATTACCATCAAAACATCCCACAAGGTCACCTCACCACCCGGGGGTCGTGTTCTTTCTCCAGCACAGGGATCGGGCCGGTCGTGAGAATGTACACACCTGAGGCAACACACAGCATCCCGTGAGGCGGCAGCAGGAAGCCCCACTCAGGGGGTCCTGCAGGACTGATGTGGGGCCCATTGGCCCGCACCTGCGCCCTACAAGAGGGCAAGTGGCCCCCTGAGGGGCAGTCCCTCCTTCCAAGGATCCTCCAAGCCAAATGTTCCTTTTCCCAGGACTGGAAGAAAGATGACTTAGAGCCTCATGTACCGACAGGAAAAGATGTCCACGCTACAGGAATACAGGAAGGGAAAAAGAACACTGCCAAACAGTAGGTGGGTCCACTTTGCAGAAGGAAAAATGCATCTATATGTCCAGTCTGTACATCGAAAAATGTGAAGATGAAATTCAGCAATACCGCTAAATTAGGTCTCAAGGGTGGAATTCAGTAGAACTTTTCCTTCCTTTGCTATACATTTCTGCACTGTTTGGATTTGAGTATTTTTACAGTGAGCATATAACTTTATGGTGATTTCTTCAAGAAATATACATATAACATTTCTAATGGAATGAGAAAAACATTGAAGTGTATTTGACATGGAAAGACATTCCTAATATATATGGAATGAGAAGTTACAAAACAGTGGGAACAATACCATTCCATTTTGGCGAGGAAAGATGTGTCAAGATGAAGAGAAAATGTCTGCAAGGATGAGTGATGCCCTGAAAGGTTAAAAATGCTCATCTCTGAATGGTGAGATTATCGTTTCTATATTCTTCTTATACATGCCTGTATTTTTTTAAACAATGAATATTTATTACTCTGTGTTTACAAAAAAGGGAGAGTTTAAAGCCCCTCACCCCAAAGTGAGGCAGGAATCAAGTTAGGGGCTTCAAGTGGCGAGCCCTGGGCTTTTCTGGGCTATGCCACGGAGTGTCTGTGTGACCAGCTCTCACCACAACTTCCTGCACCACCTGCGACGTGGCCTGCATCCAGCTCGCAGAAGCTGCCTGGCATCGTGGGAAGGGTCCTGGAGGCGGATCCAGGGGCCTCCCTCTGAACCCTGGTTCTGGCACTTACCAGCGGTGTGACCGTAGGCAAGTGCGGTGGCATTTTCAGGAGATAATAGCTGACCAGCCCACCCCACAGCATCAGAGGGGCTTGTGGTGAAATAAAAACGTATGCATGTCCTGTGAGGACTGGAAAGTTCTCTGGGCAGGCCTCCTTTGTCCTGCTCTTGCTGTATTATCATTTGTGATTCTCAGTTGTGACTTTCATCCCAGACAGCATTCTTAGTTGTTCACAGCCCAATTTATTTGGAGGAGCCTGCCTCGTTCGTATTTGTGGATTTGTGAAGTCTCCTGAACCCTGGGTCACTAACAGCTGTTAACCTCCAGCCAGTGGTCTTGGACTTCCTTTGTATTCGCCGCCGGTGGCTTTCTCTGTGATTTAATTTATGACAAGTAGAAAGGACTTCTGCCAGAAGCGATCCGCCGCGTCGGCCTGCCCTGACGGATTGTCATCAATGGCTCTTGTGAGGAACAGAAATGAAAGCTGGCAGCCGGGCTGGCTCTGCTGCCTGCCGAGGGCACCTCCTCTCTCCTCTCAGGACGGCGAGAGCTTGGGTGAGCCCCTTGGCACCTGTCCTCCCTGCCTGGGAGGTGCTCGGCTCTCATTCCCAGTCACCTGCGGGAGGGCTGGCTGGGTCCCTTGTCCCTGCCAAGTACTGTCTCGTCTAGGAGACCACCGAGTAGCAGGTGCTTTTTAAAAAACTCCCAGAGAAACACAAGAATAATCTGCTAAAATAATACACAATATGTAAGTATGTATGTGCATACACATATGTGTGAACACATATACGTGGGGGTATGTGTGCATATAGATAACCTCTTATTGAAAGAATTAGAGTTATAGAATCCCAGTGAGGTTCAGTGACTTATCCAAAGTCCCAGCAAGTTCATACAATGTGGAAAACAGATGGCGCATCTCCCTTTTCTTGAGTCACGCAGCCATGCTGCATGCCAACCAATGCCAGGGAGAAGGAAGGTACCCATTCTGCAAGTCATTCTTTCCTCAGTGAACATGGCACCAGTTGCTTCTTGCCCAGCTCACACAGATCCAAACGGGCCTGTCATTAACACGTGAGCCAATGTCAGTTTCCTGCCCCCAAAGTCCTTCAACACTCTGGTCCCCACTGAATTAAGCAAACAATTCCTCAGCCTGGTGCAGTGGACTTCTTTGGGAAACATGCCCCATTCCGTCTTTTTAGGGGTAGGCCCCAAACACATCCTGTTCATAACAACAACACACACAGAACTGAGTCTTCGCCCTGGGCCAGGCGCTGTGTTTGTCCCATGTGGCCTTGACCCCATGGGCAGATGGACTGGGCCAGGGGGGTGACACCTGGTCCAAGCTGTCCCAGCCAAACTCTCCCTACAAGCGTGTAAAAATGGGATGCTGAACGGAGGACAGGTGACTCAGTGGCAGCCGTATGTGACCCAGATGCAAGGAAAAGCAGAGACAGACAGTGAACGAAGCACTTGTGATAAGAGTCCATGGACAACAGTCCCCGGGAAGCAGAAGGTCACCTCAGCGGCTGACAGGTTCTCCTGTCCTGTCCCTGGCCCTCCCAAAGCCCAGCTGTGCCTCTGCCATTAAGTTCTGTGAGGGCTGCCCTTGTAGCCTATTGATAAATTATTTTTTTGTTTAGTCTTCCTATGTGGGTTCCTGTTACTTGTGACCACACAAACCCTAAGACACTTGGCTTACCTCAGTTAGGAAGTCCACCAGTTCTCCCAGGATAACCAGCTACCCTTTAAAATAAGAATGTTTCCTGGGCGCGGTGGCTCACGCCTGTAATCCCAGCACTTTGGGAGGGTGAGGCGGGCAGATCACTTGAGGTCAGAAGTTTGAGACCAGCCTGGCCAACATGGTGAGACCCCATCTCTACTAAAAATACAAAAATTAGCCAGGCATGGTGGCCCACAACTGTAGTCCCAGCTACTCGGGAGGCTGAGGCAGGAGAATCGCTTGAACCCGGGAGGCAGAGGTTGCCGTGAGCTGAGATTGTGCCACTGTACTCCAGCCTGGGCAACAGAGTGAGACTCCGTCTCAAAAATAAATAAATAAGAATGTCTCTGGATAGACACAGGTAGGGCATTGTTATAAATGGTTAATGGGTGCTTTTAGTCATTCATATCTTCTTGTGAACCAGGTCAACAACTTCCTTTCCTCTAAGACTTCCTATTAATATCAGGGACATTTGGGTGATTTAAGGTTTTGATGAGAGAAAAAGAGATATTTTAAAGTACAGAATCCCATGGGAGGGCAGGCCTGGGAGGAGGGAAGGCACCTTCAGTTACTGCAAAAGTTGCCCAAGGTTAGTCCTGCTCCCAGTAATAAGGAAACTAATTCATTATCATTATGACTCATTAGTATTTTTAATTTACACAATGCCTTTCTTCCAAGGAACTCATTATGTCGATGGAGATTCATTACGGGAAAGAGATCTGGGAGTGGAATTTATGTTGGACATAGTCTTCTAAATATGGCAACAAGAACTTTTATGACATGGGTACATGACTCGAAGCAAATCTCTCTATCAACTAATTAAGAAGGGAGGTAAAACTGTGTCGAGTTCAGGTGATGCTGAAGGAGATGCCGTGTGTTCTCAGAGCACTGTGAAACTCACGTCTGCATCCTCCAAATACTAAATTCATAGTATTTCTGAAATTATGATATCTTGAGTATGACATTTTAATAGCATTAAAGGTAATCATTTTTAATGAGAAAAATATATCTCAATTTGTAAATTTAGCAGAGGAAAACTGATTGGCATTTCTATTAAGAAACCTTCAAAGCCACCTTGAATTAAAGCTACTTTGGTTACTAGCCAATGGGTTATGTGCTTCCATCCATGCTACTATTTGCCAGAGAAAATCATTGTCCTGCTGTCCCTGGGAAGTTTCTGGTGTTAATTTTAAAGGAGCAGACAGCTGCACTGGTGAACACCATTTGGTACTTCTTTTGTACGGTAACAAAAACACCCCATAGTGAGCCTGGAGGGCTCACACACTAATTTCACACATTATGTAAAGATGATTTCAAAGATCACATTACCTGCAGAAGACTGCAGAACAGAGTCTCAGAGGAAATGAGCTATTAGAAGACATTCAGGGCACTGGCTTCTTATGGGGTATTCTCAGTTTGGGCTCAGAGAGTCGTTAGCATGAGTCAGGCCTTCCCCTTTGCCCCCTACCTCAACTCATCCCCGCCACCTTATCCAGTTCCATGCACTGAACAAGTATTTATCAAGGGCCTGCTGGGTGCCAGACCCAGCGCTAAGTACTCAGGATACAGACTGAGGGCGCCCTGCCCTCTCACTGCCCACCAGGCATTCCCAGGCATTATACTATGTGACAAACCTAACTCATGGTCAAGTGCTAGACTGCTGTGGGTACATGGGGGTGGGGCGGGGGAGGTGTCAGGTTCTGCATGAACTATGAAGGGACATTTCAGCTAAGACCTGGAGAAGAGGAGGGAACAGGCAGGTAGGGGGCTGGGGATGGGAAGGAAGGCTGCAGGTATGGAGCACAGCCTGAGGCTGGAGAGTGCAACCAGGGCAGCTGCAGCCGAGTGAGCACAGTATAGGGTAGGGCAATGTGAGGCTGCAGCCTCCAAGGGAAATGCCAGAGACACTCACCTCATATGAAACCAAGGGGTGACTTTAAGCAGAAGGAAACAGATTTGCATGCATAAGGACCACTCTGTCAGCCTTATGGAGGAAGCTTCTGTTGGGGAGGTAGGTATAGGAGGGCACATAGGGCCCCATATTACTCCACTGCATCACAGTGACCTCAGTGGCTTGGGCAGAGTGGTCACAGTGGAGCTGAAGAGCAGGAGACAGACTGGGGACAAGTTGTGCAGGGAGTCCAAAGGCATGATCACTGCTTGGATATGAGAAGTGAGGGGGTGTCAAGGACGAGCGGTGATGGACACGACGCTGGCCACTGGCGTGGGGCCCATTACAGGAGCAGACCAGTGAGGGACTAAGGGTTCAGTTTTGGACACGCTGGGTCTGAGGTGTTTGAGATCTGGACCTGGAATTCAGAACAGAGATCTGGGCTGGAAGGGGGCCCTTGGGAGCCAGGCACATGATGGCATTGGGGCAAGGAAGAGATCCCAACAGAGAGTGTGGGAGGAGGAGAAAGGAGGGCGCAGGATTGGTCTAGGAGGGATGCCAACATTTAAAGTCCCCGCTGACATGCTGCAGCTGGCTAAGGAGGCTGAGAAGGAGCGAACCTCCGAGGGTGGAATCACAGGCGGCTCAGAAGCCATCGCGCCACGGGAGCGTGGACAGCTGCGCCCAGTGCTGCCGATGGATGTCGTAGAGGTGCGCTCTCCAGACCAGGAATATCAGGGTCACAGGTGACCTCAGCACAAGAGTGGTCAAAGGTCAGGGAGATAAGCCGACTGGAGTGAGCTGCAGGATGCCCGGGACTCGGGAAGCATGAGAGGCTGGTGGAGGAAGTGCTCTGGAGGCTTTTCTCCAGGGCCTAGCCAGGTGACTGATGTCACCCCCTGCTGTCACAGCCACAGTGTGGGGGGTCCTGTGTGCTTCACTGAGATGTATGAAAGAAGCTGCTTTACCGCAGGGAGAACCCGAGTGTAGGCACTTGGGCCTCAGCTCATTAAAAGGACAAAGGTGCTTATTTGGGGTTTTGTTTCTAAAACTCCCCAAATGAATGCTTGTTACCAGCATGCCTTTAAAACACTCACCAAATCCCAGCCAGGTAATTAGATACGGTCCTGGCCCACAGGAGGACTTGGATTTGGAGCCGGTACTCCTAGGCCAGGAGACCTAGAAGGGCAGACACCACAGAGCCTCGAGAGGGCTCTACATCGCCATGGGGCTGCCAGAACGGGGTACATGGCGTGGCCCAGGAGGCTCAGCTCTGGGAAGCTTTTGTGTCCCGTCAAAAGCATCTTCCATGGCTGGCAGAAAACCAAAAATCAATGGGAAAATGATCTCTGACTTCTGAGTGTGTCCATTCTCTCTCCTTCGGAGGGCTCCCCGGTGCAGCTGAAACCAAGAGTCTCACCTGGGGCCCTTCTAGGGGTCCAGGGAAAAGGGGGTTTCTAGGAGCTCCAGACTCCACCAGCCTCGCCTGTGGCCTGAAATCTGCCCCCACCTCAAGCTGAGGACACAGCCTCCCCAACAGCAGCTCCCTTGTTACTGAGGACGAGCACCAAGAAAGAATCATAATGAATAACATGCTTCTTACGACGGAAGACTCACTACATGCCAGGCGCTGAGCTGAAAGTTACAATGCTTTCTTTTTTCTTGTTCACGTATATATATAATTTGCGTAAACATAAAGTAAAATGTCTGTGCGTGTGTGTGTGTGTATCCACAGTTCTGAACTGTGACAGATGCAGAGTTGTGTAACTATGCATTAGACTGTGGTGTGATTCAGAACTCTATCACCCCAGATGTTCCCTCACAGTCACTCACACTCCCTTTGTAGTCACACCCTCCTCCTGCCCCTAACCACGCCCTAATCCCACCCCTTCAGCCTCTGACCTCTTCTTAGCCCCCTAGGTTGCCTTTTCCAGAATGTCCTATAAATGGAATCATACACTCTGCACCCCTTGCGGTCTGGTGTGACTTTGGCTGGTGCATCTAAGAGTCACTCACATTGTTTTGTACATTGACATTTTGTGCCTTTTTTTTTTCCTGAGACAGAGTCTCGCTCTGTCGCCCAGGCTGGAGTGCAGTGGCGCGATCTTGACTCACTGCAAGCTCCGCCTCCCGGGTTCACACCATTCTCCTGCCTCAGCCTCCAGAGTAGCTGGGACTACAGGCGCTCACCACCACGCCGGGCTAATTTTTTGTATTTTTAGTAAAGATGGGGTTTCACCGTGTTAGCCAGGATGGTCTCAATCTCCTGACCTCACGATCTGCCCACCTCAGCCTCCCAAAGTGCTGGGATTGCGGGTGTGAGCCACCGCACCCGGCCCATTTTGTGCCTTTTTATTGCTGAATCACATTCCGTTGAATGGGAGTGCCCGTTTTTCTATTCACCATATATCTGGGTTGACTCTTGTTTGGGGCAATTAGGAATAAGCTGCTATAAACATTCGTGTGCATATTTTTGTGTGCACACAGGTTATTTCTCTTTGGTTAAATAATTACAAGTCTTTTTATAAATCTTATAAACCTATAAAAGTAGCACCATCCCCATTTTACAGAACGGGAAAGGAAGGCGTGGGGAGGTTGAGGACGTTCATACAGAGTCAGGTCACTGGAGGAGCTGGACTACTACCTGCTCAGTATAGCCAGTGTGACTGAGCGCCTCCTGAGAGCCAGGTGGATTCCGCCCTCAGGGATCCATCTCTGTGCAAGAAACCCACCCATGAGCAGGTGGCTTCACTGAGCCATGACAGGCACACAGAGGGGGCCGTGGTGGCCCAGAGGGGAGCATCTGACCAGGCTCAGGGGGAGGAATGTGTCCAGCGGAGTCACAGAGGAGCAGTACAAGTTAGCCAGGTAGGGGACACTCCAGGCAGGGGAGCAGCAGGACAAAAGCATGGAGGTAGCACTGCCAGTGACAAGTTCCAAAACAAGAGGCTGACTTCTACAGAGTCCGTGTAGGAAAATAATGGGAAATACATTTGGACAGGAGGTAGGGTCTGCTAAAAAAGGACTTTAATTCCAGGTTAAGGAATCTGCATGTTAAAACATTAGCTGCCATTTCTACAGTGCTATTTCCCAGGCTCTGTGCCTCTCTGGGAGCCTTGAAGGTTTGTGAGCTGGAATGAGATCTTAGGAACAAAACGGTGCATGAGGATAGCTCAGGTAAAGGTTATTGACAAGTAAGAATGCCTGGCACCAAACGCATGTCCTGTCTAAGGAGGCATTCTGCCTTGGAAGCACTGTTCTCTGTTTTCCTCTGAGTCTTCGTACCAATCTCCCTTCATGGATGAAAAGAGAGCTTTACCACATGATTACTGAAATTGTGTATGTGTCTAATTCCCCCACTAGGCCAGCAGTCCCTTCCATTTCTCAATCCCCATAACTGGCCACAGCATCTGGCATAAAATGGGCCCTTTATAAATGTTTATGTAACAAGCCAGGCACGGTGGCTCATGCCTGTAATCCCAGCAATTTGGGAGGCAGGTGGATCACCTGAAGTCAGGAGTTCGACGACCAGCCTGACCAAAATAGTGAAACCCCATCTCTACTAAAAATAAAAAAATTAGATGGGTGTGGTGGCATGCACCTGTAATCCCAGCTACTCAGGAGGCTGAGGCGGGAGAATTGCTTGACCCCAAGAGATGGAGGTTGCAGTGAGCTGAGATCATGCCACTACACTCCAGCCTGGGTGACAGAGCGAGACTCCATCTCAAAGAAAAAAAAAAGTTTATGGAACAAATAAGGTGCCTTTATTCATTAGGTACTTTGATTAGTAAGTAGTTATCGTATCAAACTCAGGTGACCCATTTTCAAAGAATTAGAATATTAAAAAAAAAAAAAAAACCCTTGTGGCAAATTATTGTTCAATATTCATTCTCTGCTCGCCACCTCTGTGGGAGAAGTATACTTCTCTGATGCTTGATTTGGAGCTCTGTGAAATGATCTGCTTTGATTAACTGGATTATCTGCTGATTTCTGGATTGGTTAACTGGATATCATATCCAGTTAATCAAAGGGGCTTGGATGCAAGCAGAGGCTTGGAACTGCTTGCACACCTGGGCCTCTGCCATTGCCCTGAGAATATACCTTGGCCAGAAGACGCCTTGGTCCAAGGAGGATGCAAGATATTTGGCACATACTCCATACCAAACCTGCAGCTTGGAGACACACAGCTGAGCCCAGCTGAGATCAGCCCGCCCAACAGATCTGCAGAAAGTCAGCAAAAATGCATGCTTATCATTGTACACCCTGAGATTTTGGAGTTGTTTCATAGCAATAGCTGACCATACAACCCTACGCTAAAAAATGCCCCCACCATAATTTTGTTGTCCTTTGTTTAGGAAGTGAGTCACAGACTGGTTTTAGACTACCTCTGAGCCTCAGTTTCCTCATTTGTAAAATCTGTAACATGGTTATGAGACTGAATGAGAGAATCCAAGAAAAGCCTTCAGTGCAGGCTGCAGCACAGGGACTGTGCTCAGTATGTGCTATTGCTATGAAGGCGTCTCTGGACCTGGGGTCCCTGTGTCGAATAGCAGCTCTCACTAGGTACTGGGATGTGCCTGAGGAGGGTGCCACGTAACAGAATGTCAAGCAAAAACATTCTCTGTCTCCCAACGTACGTCCTTCCAAAGTGACCTCAGGCGAACTTCCTCGCCTCCTGCCAAAGAGCTAAGGCACCACTGCCTGTTTATCACAGTCAATTAACTGGTGACGCAGCTGTCCTGGTGGAGACAGAATCAGTGTCCTCGTCTTGTGTCCTGTGGTGAGAGAGGCTAAGATGCGGGTGAGAGTTTGAATCTGCTAACGCTAGGCTGTGGCAGGCTGCCAGCAGGGCACTTAGCTCGGCCTCCCCGCCCTCCCCCTCCCATCTGTCTTCACTCCTCATGGACTCTTAATGCCACTGAATGCTAACAGGCAAAACGTATGTGACTGGAGGAGACCCGAAACAAAGGGGTGAGAACAGCCACCCAACAGAAGCTGTCTCCTGCGACGTCTTCCCCTCCATGGCTCAACTGCGCATCAGCCGACCCAGGGCAGCTTGCCTTTGTCCCTCAGTAAAATAAACTATGAAAATCTCTCCAGGCCCCACCCGCCTCTGCAAAAGGTTCAGAATTATTCTTTCCAAACTATCTAATTCATACACTGTGATGTCTCAACAAAGCCGTGTGCAGGCGTGGACGCTGAAGGCATTTTGCATTTAACTATTCGACCAGCTTCAAAACCCTTAGGATCCGGTGATAAATCCTGCGAATGCAGAGGTTTACGCTCTCCTCACAGTATCAGGAACCTACTGGTGTTTGGCTGGAGACTGCAAATGTTTCTGACGGCTCATATGAATCTTAGAAAATAGAAAACAACCTATCCCACATTACATAATCAGGCCAGGAAAACATGTTTCCTATTAGAAAGGCAGCCAGCAATTTCCCAGGACTCAGACAGGGGTCCAGGATTTTTGTCTGGCCTGCTCCTGCTGAGGAACGACAGCACTTGAACCTCTCTGTATCTCCTTCTCTCTCAAGCAAAGACCCACGGAGCCGCCCCTCTGTGCTGGCATGCCCCTTCGTCTATTGTACTATTTCTTTCACTGGAGAGAGGATGAGTAAATATCAAAGCCCGAGAATTATTACGCTTCTCAGAGAGGTTGGAATGATCAATAAGATGCTTCTAACACAAACAGGAAATGAAAATTCGGAGATAGCAAGGTCTTTAGAAGCAGGCTGGATCCTTACAAAGGTGCAACATAACCAGCTGCATAATCAAATAGTCCCTTTAGAGTCTATCAAGCCTGTCCACACTCCCAAGCAAGGCCAAGGCCCCCAGATTACCCTCCTCCTCATCTTCCAAAACCTTTGGACTTCTCTGAGAGGTGCCCCCAACCCCAGCCCAGCCTCCCCTGGCATAGCTGGTCACCCCCTCCCAGGACTTCTTAGCACTTATTTGTGATAACACGGTGATGGGGTGAGGGAGGACATGCCGGCATGGGTGGAACTGTGCACTGGTAATGAACATGGGTGGTGGAGGAAGTCAGACCGAGGTTCACATTGTGGCTCCTCCACTTGACCTGAGGCAAGTGAAACAATCTCTCTCAGCCTCAGTTTCCTCATCTGTGATGCAGGAATACCTCCATCATAGCACTAAATTTTATATATAGATATATATATATATGCAACTCTCACTCATGGCCAGGCCACAGTGAGCACTTAGCAGAATTTTGTCAGATGGCAGGTGGATGGATGAGCAAAAGAGCTGGCTTCATCCGGTGAGGTCGCACAAAACCCAGTACTTGGAAGGACCCTGCACCTGGTTTAATGCTCTGTGGTCGCTGCATTGAAATCCTTAATAATTTTTGAACGTGGAGCCTCGCACTTCCATTTGGTGCTGGACTCTGCAAATTATGTAACCAGTGCTGCGGAACAGTGACTCGGGGGCCAGCTGTGACACTCTGGGAGTCTCAGCGGTCCCACTGAGTTATGAGCCAAACTCTAGCATGACCCCACATTTTGGTACTTTTGGTAATGGCAGCAAGGATACCACATTTGGAACAAAGTCAGTGATGAAAATATTTTGTACTAAACCTGTGCCATTTCACACAAGCTTCCAGGTATTTGTTTTGAAAAATGCAACCTCATCACTGGGGAGAAGGCATCTTACCACTCCTAGCCTTTCTTTCCTTGAGAAGAGAGTGCAATTAGGGTGAGTTCTTTCTCTCTTGGACCTTCTTCCATCTGCCAGGGAGATGGAGCACGTTTCAACAGTAAATTTAGGCTGGGCGCAGTGACTCACACCTGCAGTCCCAACAATTTGGGAGGCTGAGGCAGGAGGATCACTAGAGGCCAGGAGTTTGAGACCAGCCTGGGCAACATAGTGAGACCCCCACCTCAACAACAACAACAAAAAATTTTTAATTAAAAAAAAATTAGTAAGGCATGGTGGTACATGCCTGTAGTCCTAGCTACTTGGGAGGCTGAGCTGGGAGGATTGCTTGAGCCCACGAGTTCGAGGCTGCAATGAGCCATGATCACATCACTGCACTCTAGCCAGGGCAACAGAGCAAGATCCTGTCTCAAAAAAAAAAAAAAACAGTAAATTTAGTAAATTTGGGGACAATGAGCGGGGCTTGCTCAGTTCTGCTCCTCCCTTTCTCCCCTTTCTGGGGAAGAAGAGAAGGGAAGTTCCAGGTGACTAGCTAGGTGAATCCTTCTAATTCTTGGGTTCCAGATGAGGAAACCCATTTGGCTCTTGCAGTGAGCCATGCCTTTTGACCAGCCTTTTCAGTAACAATAGTGATATGTTGGCTTTCAACTGTTATTCCATTGGCTGACTCAATCTGTTCAGTTCTTGGTTTGGAATAGGGTTGCTATATATTGGACACACTCAATGACTCCAACAACCACCCAAACCCTGCCATCCATCTTGTGATCTAGAACAATACTTAATTAAAACACCCTCCTCACTACAAGGAAGTAGGATAGGTCCAGGGAAGAGTGTTAGATTCATTGCATCTCAAAATTGAAAGGCCCCTTGGCTCGAGAAGGAGAAACTCCAAGGAGACTAAAAGCATGGTACATTAGTTGTCAATCTCTAGTGTGCACCAGAATCATCCAGAAGGCGCGTCAAAATGGATTTCACTCTTGGCCTCATTCCAGAGTTTCAGATTCTGTAGATCTGGGTGAGGAATCTAAGAATGTGCATGTCTATCAAGTTCCCAGGTGATGCTGAGGCTGCTGGTCTGGGAACCCCACTTTGAGAGCCACTGGCCTGATATAAAATGACTTCACTCTGCTATTACAGAGCAGCAGCCAGAGTCCAGGTATCCTGTGCTCTAGCCAATGCCCTTCTCGGTCCATCTTCTTGCCCATTGGTTGCACCTTCCTCAGCCCTAGCTGGAAGTTCCCTTGGCTGCAGTTTTTAGATTTGCACTCAACACTTAAGGTGAACTTGCTCTCCTCTTCAAAATAATGTCTATAAAGAGCCTAGAGCTTCCTAGGAAAAAAAACACTTCAATACTAAGTATTTCTGGCACCAAAACCTATTATAAGAAACATGAAAACAGAAAGTGTTTTATGAAGAAAAATAAGTACAATTCAGGATAAACTTAAAGCAAATGTCATCAGCCCAGGACCAAAAACCCAAAAAGTTGGTCAATTTTTTTTTTATCCTTTTATGGTACATTCTATGTTTATTTTGCTAAAACCAAATAAGAAAACTTCTTGTACTTACCCAGAGTATTGGTAGCAAGTTTTTTTCAAGTCCATCTTCTGTAAGCTCTCTTTTATTGACCATGCAACCTGCATTATTGATCTAAAAATTATAGTTCCCATTTCAAAATAAAGAAAAACAGGGCCAAAAGACCTACGTCCATCCCCACACCTCCACTACCCCAGCCCCAGCTCCTTCTCAACTTTCAAGTGACACTGACAATTTGCTCAACTGATTCTGCACTCCAAAGCCCTTGCAGGAAAATACCACTTGTGCAGAGGACTCAGCCACAGAACTGTGCAAAGATCGCCAAGCGAGACAGCTGGGCCAGGCAACCTAATTCATGAGAGAGTGCTCTGGAAATTCATCTAGTTCAGAACCGTCCAATAGAAATATCTAATCTTAAGATTTCTAGTAGCCACATTGAAAAGGTAACAAGAAACTGGTAAAATTAATTTAATAAGATTTTAAACCAAATGTATCCAAAGTAGCATCATTTTAACATGCAATCAATATAGAATATTAATGAGATGGCATACATAATTTTTTTTAAGGCTTTGAAACCTGCTAATTTATACACTTACAGCACATCTCAGTTTGGACTAGCTACATTTCAAATGCTTCACAGCCATACTGGATAGCACAATTCCAGACTCTGGAACAACATTTTAGAGCACATCAGAAAGTCTTTGGATAGAAAAGCAACTTAGCTCAAAGTGGAATATCTGGGAAGAGCATACTGGGACTCTTTCTGAGTCCACCCAGGCTCTCTGTGGAGTTTTGTGCTAATTATGTTACTAAAAGATTTGCTTGTCTGTAGGAGGTATTCTTTTGGATGAAAAGAGCTTCTAATTTCAATACACCAATCCCCAAATCTACAGAACTGAGAAATATTTATATACAAATCATCATTTTACAAAACATGGAACATGTCTATCCTCCCACAATACCTACCCCGTGGATGGCCCCTACCTTTCCCCACTAATCTAACCACACGGGTCTCCTCTTAAATCCAATGAGTAAAGCTGATTCCATGAACAGGCCCAAGCATAAAAGAGTCTTACTAAGATTATTCCATAAAGACACACAAACATACATATCCGTCCACATCCACAGACGGAAACAATGGCCAACATGACTTTATTCTCCACTTATGTTTACAAAGCTCACTAGAACATGGAGTTTATGTTCCTGCTTGAAATTTTCAACAAATTTCCAGATTTTCTTGGGATCAGACAAGTCCACAATGTGCAGAAAAATGTTCTAAATTAGAAAGCAAAATAAATAAATAAACCCTTTTTAAAAAGATATAAACTAGCACTTTTAATTTTTAAAAAGTACATGATTTTTTAAAAGCAAATACTTTGAAATGATATAAAACGGAAAATACCAGTCCCACTCCTCAAAAATAAACCATTGTTCACGTTTTTTGTGAATCATCCAGAAATATTTTAAGCATATACTATATATACTATATATATTTTAAGATATATATATATATATATATTCCACACAAATAGGATCAGACTATGCATTGTTCTACATCCATCTTTTGCACTTAACAATATGTATTTTAGTTTTTGGTGGCAAAAACAATTTTTACTTATTTATTTTATTGTGATAAGAATACTTAATATGAGATCTAGCCTCTTAACAAAATTTCCAGCATGCCGACTAGGTACAATGCTGTACAGTGCACCTCTAGAGTTTATTCACCTTGCCTAACTGAAACTTTGGACCCTTTGATAGTAACTCCACACTTCTCCTTTCCCCAGTCCACCCTTTGGTTCTATGAATTGTGAGTACTATGGATACCTCACATAAGTGAAATTGTACAGTCTGTCTTTCTGTGCCTGGTTTATTGAACTTAGGTTAGGTCCTCCAGGTTCATCCATGTCATTGCAGGATTTCTTTTCTTTTAAGGCTGAATGATATTCCAATGTGTGTATGTATGGACCACATTTTCTTTGTCCATTCATCTGTCGATGGACATTTAAGCTGTTTCCACATCTTGGCTATTGTGAATAATGCTGCAATGGATGTGGCAGTGCTAATGGCTCTTCAGGATCCTGATTTCAATTCCCTTAGATTAGTACCCAGAAGGGCAATTGCTGGGTCAGACGGTAGCTCTATTTTGAATTTTTTTTGAGGAACCTCCATACTGTTTTCCACAGTGGCTCCACCATTTTGCATTCCCACAAATGGTGTGCAAGGGTTCCAATTTCTCCACAACCTAACAAACACTTTTTGTCTTTTGTTTTTTTAACAATAGCCATCCTGAGAGGTGTAAGGTGATATTTCACTCTGGTTTTGATTTGCATGTCCCTGATGACTACTGACATTAAAAGTATTTTTTCATATATATATTGGCCATTTTTTTTTTTCTTGAGAAAAAGAGTGCCACTGCGCTCTGTCACCCAGGCTGGAGTACAGTGGTGCAATTTTGGCTCACTGCAACCTCCGCCTCCCAGGTTCAAGCGATTCTCCTGCCTCAGCCTCCCAAGTAGGTGGGACTAGAGGTGCATGCCACCATGCCCAGCTAATTTTTATATTTTTAGGAGAGACAGTGTTTCACCACGTTGGCCAGGGTGGTCTTGAACTCCTGACCTCAAGTGAGCTGCCTGCTTTGGCCTCCCAAAGTTCTGGGATTACAGGCATGAGCCACCGTGGTCAGTTTGTGTTGACCATTTGTATATCTTCTTTGGAGAAATGTCTATTCAAGTCCTTACACCATTTTCAAATCGGGTTATAAGTTACGTCGTTGTTTGTTTGTTTTGCTATTGAGTTGTAGGACTTGCAAGAGGTCTTGGAGATGATTTTGTTATATATGACTCCACCCTATTCCTTTTAATGACTACATAACATACCTTTGCATGGATATGTCAGAGTTCCCTGCCGCTGATCTTTTTTTTTTTTTTTGTCAAAATTTTGCTCTTAAGACAGTATCTTAGGCACATCATAAATAAGATGGTAAGTTCTGCTGTGACCCTTAGTCCTTGGTCATGACACTTTTCAATCTCTGCCTTGTATCATGGTTATCACTGGACACAGCCACCTCCCCAGGAGACTTAGAACTCCGTGAGCAAGGGACACTGTCTAATGCGCCCTTTCTCCTTATGGTATTACACAGTCACAGCCATGGTAGTTGAATAACGGACCTTGGCTGTTTAAACCTTTTTCTCTGTACCCAGTACCTAAGTCCAAATTTGCATTCTTGGCATCCAGTGAATGCAACGGTGCCCTCTCTGAGCATCAGTGGACATATGTGACCTATCACTAACCCAAGGCAGAAATTCCTGCTGCTGCAGGCATGTAAGCACTGAACCTGCAGACGACGATCAGAGCAAGAGCCACAACTCCTTTGACAAAGCAGGGAAGTTCCGTGCCCTGCCTGAGTTTCCCCATTAATTGAGCTATAAACCCCAAAGCTGTAGTCAGAATTTCTTTCTACTCATCTTAAAACGTATTGTTTTTTCACCTGAGACAAATGAGACAGAAGCAACTCCACATTTTCATGACTCAGAAAGTCGAGTCAGGTTGAACACCACATTCAGCTTAAGCCTGGCCCAACTGGATATTCCTCTGCCTTCAAAGGATAGGAAAAACGTTGTCTGTACAGAGCTATTCTCTTTGAAAATGCCTGTGAAGGCCCTCACCCAGCCAGAGCGTACAAGGCTGCTGAGTCATGTCTGAGTCAGCCGGGAGCCTGTACCAACGACTGCAAACTGAGTCTAGACACCTAATCCTTCCATTTTGAGGCCTTGTCTGCAACCACCCTAAAATTCCCTCCTACCAGAAAGCGATGTGTTAACATATATACAAACTCCAGGTTAAAACAGCAACAAAACTCAAGTGAACTAAAACCAATTCTGCTTGAAACATTCCACAAGTTCTCTGAGCTTCCTGGAAGTGCTTGAGATGTCTCAGAGTGAAAAGGAGGTAGCAGCAGGGAAGAGAGAATCACTGTCCTAGACAGATCAGCCACGGGGCTGGTGACATGAAGCACTATGAAAAGAGGAAGGAAATCATCTGTGTCCCTCTGAGGCAAAACAGGAGGCCACAAAGCACCCAGAAGGGAAGGCCAGCAGTCTGTTGTGGCCAGGAGAAGGAACTGGAAACAGGTGCATGTGTGTAAAAGTCCCAATCTGCAGAGCCACACAACGAGAAGGCTCACCTTAGCAGCCACTGGTCCCCACTGTGACAAAGCATGGTTACTGAAACTGAACAAAACAAAACAAAGCTGGGACCCTTTCTGCAGATGAGCCACCATCTATAGCGGCTGTGTGGCCCAGGACTCATGAGGTGACATCATGGGGACTGATCCCCCAATCAGAGCAGTTCCCGCAATGAGCACGGTAAACAGTGCATGGAGGTGCTTTGTTAAGTAGAAATCATTCTGGAGAAATAAGGCGGTATTTCGTAAAACCACGGAGGTCTTGGGAAGCTAAACCAACCATTCTCAAGAAGCTAGAAATCACATTGGCCTGGAAGAGCTGGAGTAGAAACCCGTTTTTTATCGTGGCGTGTGACGTTGGTGGAGTTAATCCCCCACAAGACATAAGTGCTTTCACAGAACCTTCCAGCCACATCAGGAAGCCTGCAGGACTGAAACACGTTGCGCAGGCACCTGTACCTCTGTGATCGTTCCCTGTAAAACCCGTAACTCCAGTGTAATCATGAGAAAGACATCAGACAAATCCCAACTGCGAGAGCCTATCTCAAAAATCCCAAGTGAGAGCCTATCTCAAAAAACAATAAATAAAATAGAAGGGTTTTTGTTTGTTTGTTTGTTTGTTTTGAATGTTGCCCCTGGGGATAACTGCTAGACAAAAGTCTGGAGCCAGGCAGTAAGGCCCGGCTGAACTGCAACTAGAAGCCTGGGGAGAAAGGTCCAGCCTGTTTCTCCCTTAGGCCCTTTGGGAGCATCGTGTCCAGTGGACTGGTGAGCCGGAAGTCTGCTCTACAGTAACCAGTACTCCTTTCCCCAAGGTTAGGCCACACATAACCTCTCTGAAAGATCACTTCGGCATGATATTCACCTCTCTATATGGCCAAACACCTGATATTACCAAGCCAGCGTGTACAAGCAGCTGAGATCCCCACATGACCCTGAGTCTTACCTGGTGCCTGTACTCCCTGGCTAAGCTGCCCTGCTGCACACCTCACCCCGACCCTCCTGCCCAAGGGACCTTCTTTCTTTGATGTTCACCCAACCATGCAGGCAGGACCAGCTGCTCCAGTGCCCTCACAGCTTTACCACACATCTCTTCTGCTTCTGGGGGCTTGCAGGCTTCCACCTCTCACTAAGCAGGGCCTAAGCACTGATTAAACAGAACAAACTTGAAGCAGAGAATGTAAGGTTGAGAGTGGTAATAATCCTAGTATAAACAATAATGATAATAGCAACAACAATAACAGTAGCTACTTCTATTGATTGAGAGCTGTTTGTTCTTAGGATACCCTGAGCTTCCCATCTTGTAGCCCTTATCATGTTATTTCAGTAGCATCTAACAGACACCTCTTTCAACAGAGGGAATTGAATGCAGGGATTGATTTCCCAGGTGATTAAGGAAGGTGAGAACTCAACCACGATTGGTGAAGTAACGCAGAGATTAGTAACAACAGGAAACTACAACCAGCCCTAGGCTCAAGGAACAAAGGGAGAATGCAGTGTGGCCTGAGCCCAGGAACTAGAAGGAAGAACCAGAGAGGAGATTCAGCCATCACCAGGGAAGCCAATATCTCTCAATTCCCCACTTCCTTCCACCTACCAACCTTCCTCTAATACCTGCCATTGGCCAAACCCAGCCAAAAGCTATCTGGTTGTAGGAACTGAAGAAACACATACCTTGGGGTTCATACTATTTGTCCCCCAACGCACCCCCACTGTGACACAGAGCACAGAGACCAGGCCCAGGGCAGGCACACACACTTCAAAGAAACCGCTTGTTAATCACTTGTACCCAGCACAAGACTGTCAGGGGCTGGGTCTGTCCCAATCACTGTGTCTCCAGCACCCAGCATGCTGCTTGGCATACAATTCACCCTTAAATACACGTTAAAAAGCGAATAAAGTCAAGTTACCCCTATTTTTTAATGAGGAAGTGAAGGTTCAGGGAAGCTAAGAACATTGCCCAAGCTCACAGGCCAGAAAGTGCAAAACCAGGACTCGTATCAGTGCCCAACTCCGTCCTGCATACCATGCTTTTGTGTGTGGGTTGCCTACCAAAGGCGGACCAGAAGCAGCTGTGGAGTGGGGCCTCTTCATAAGCAGGGAGGCGCAGCTGATCCCTGGCAGAGCCTGGAGGAGACACTGAGTCAGGGAAACCAGACACTGGCATAAGCAGACAGGTACCCTCATCCTGGACGCGCTACCTGTGAGTGCTGGAGGCCACTTATAAACCCAAGAGAGCAGTGAATGTCCTGTGTGTGCGTTCAAATCCCACCAAGTGTGTCTGTATGGAGGTGAGGGGGGCAGCAGGCAAGGGCTCGCTTTCTCCCCAGCGCAGGAACATGCTTGCTCCCCTTGTCAGCTCTCTACCCCTCCTAAAGATGGTGGCATTGGATATAAGCCTGGCTGGATATTACAAACAGATCCATATTATCATCGTTTTCCATTTAAATATACTTTTTAAAGCCTGTGGCCCACACCACAGAGGGCTGGAATCCAGGCAAACCTCCTCCTGCCTGCGGCCTGAGATTAGTATTCTTGTTGCATCCTGCAGCAGCACCACTGAAAGTTATCAGCAGGCAGACAGCCAGCTTTCAATCTCGAGAACCGCAGCCCGCAGATCGCAGCGGCACTTGCAGACATTAGAGGAAGATTTAGAGACCCTCACACTCGCCGCCAGCACTAAGCCTCTGTAAGGCACCTGATGGCATGAGACTGGGGATTTCCACGAGAAAGGGAAAGGAACAGACACTTGGTGTGAAAATGTTATTTCAAAGTTGAAGCAAAATATTCCATCCTAGACAGGGGCATGCTTCTCTTTGGCTAGGGTCCATGCCTGAGGGTGGGTACCGTCTGTCCCTCCCCGGCTCCCCTCCTACGGGCTCTCCAATTGTGGGGTCTCCTAGAGGAGAGGTGGGAATGGAACGAGGGCGTTCTTCAGTGACAGTGAGCGACCAGCCATGGTGACTGAGGGTCCTTTCTGGGGTCAGGGTTTTCCACCCAGGGCCAGCCTCATGGCTGCACGATGTATCACGGGAATACGATCTATACAGCTGCACAGGCCCTGCGACTGGAAAGGCCTCAAGCTTGGTTTGATGTTCTGCCTTTGTTGTGTAGAAATTCTAAATAACTTTTACACAAGGGTCGCGCATTTTCATTTTGCACCGAGCCCCACTAATTATGTAGCCAATCGTGGTTCCAGCTCTTTCAGAAGAGAAAGATCACAAAATGTGAGGCAGCTCTGAAAGCCCATGTCAGAAAGTAGCTCTCATCAAGACCCAAACACTGCTGGTGCTTCTCTTTATTAGAAGACATCGAGTCAACGCATGGCTCCATGGCACCCCGGTGACCCTTGCTGTGTGTCGCTGATGTGGGCTCCCCCTGGGGTGAGGAGCCTGGAAGTATCACTGTCCACTGTAATGGGCCTCTGCCTGCTGGCCTCTGCTGGTTTCACAGGCAGCTCAGGACCATGCGGTCAAGCCTCAGTGCCCCACTTATCCTCTTGTCAAACCTAGCCACTCAAAAGCAGGGCCCAGCTCTCTGCTGGCTGAGGCTGCTTCCAACGCAGAAGCACAAACACAGGCCATCGTCAACCCAGGGAACGTGGGCAGGAGTCCAGCCTCCTCACAGCTGACCGTGGAGGCGAGGAAACCCAGCAGGAGGGGTGAGGAGCTGCTCACCTGGTTACCGCTCTCCCGGATGATCTCACCCCTGGCATCTTCTGCTCGGGCTTGATCTCGACAAACCAGGTGAACTGTGCCATCTGGTGGAATTCAATGAAACCATCTGTGAGTTACAGCGAGAGCTACAGAAACCAGGTCTTCCGAATGAAAAATGAAGACATATGGGCTCACAATTGACACTCCTCTGTTAAACCTAGATGGGTGGTTCCCAGAGTTAGAGCAGCGAGGGCGATCGTGAGGGAGGTACTGGAACCTTCCTGTCTGTCTGTGCTGACAGTGCCTCTGGGATAACATCCTGATTTTTTGAGGGCCTGAACACATCAAGGATAAGAAACATTGATCTGGGTCACATCTGCCTCCCTAGCATCTAGCATAGTAGCTGACCCAGAGGTGTTAACCCTGGCTGCACTTTACACTCACCTAGGGAGCTTTTAAAGATCTAGGCGATGGGCCCAGGCCTGGGTAAGTTTTACAAGCTCCCCTGGTGATGTAATGTTCAGTCAAAGTAGAGATCCACTTGCCTAGCATGTAGTAGGGACTCACGTATTGACTGAATGTTGAATCCATCAGCAGCCCTCATATTATCCCAGCCAATGCCACACCGTCATCAATCAAGATCAATTTAAAGCAGAATGCCTTCGCCGTGGCAGCTAAGAAGAAATCATTATGGAGCCTGCTTTCTTTACTAAAAATCACCCACTTGATTAAATGGGGTCTGTTTCATGGGAGGCTACAGGCTAACCACAACACCAGCCCCTCTTCCCTCTCCTCCTCTCCACACTTCAGAGTGCTTCCCAGCTGCTAAGATGCAATTAATCCTCTCCCTGACTTGGCAGATAATTAAATAAAGCTTCAAATGATATAACAGTCCCCTGAAAAATGCCTAACTTGGATTTAAAGAGAGGAAAAAAGAAAACATCTTCAGCATCTTAAAAAGCGATAAATTCACAACCTAGTTCCCCATCTTCTGCTGGAACATCCATTTTTCCAGAAGAGGCTCTGGAGAGATGCAGCAAACTTTTCCAGCCACTGCAGAGCCATTTGGTGACCCAGGATCATGGAGCTCATGCAGGAGATTCTGGCATTTACCACGAGGAAGACTTCTGCTGACTGAAGACTCTACAGGGCACCTGAAGCGCCTCTTTATAGTCAAGGTTAGGGGAGGGAAGCGGGAGGCTGCCCTAGCCCTGGAGGCTGGACCCCAGCAAGGAGGAAGGTGAGTTCAATGCACTCTTCTCTCCAGGTATTTTGGGGGCATTGGTTCATAACTACCATCCATATCCAAATTGTGGTGGACTCCGAGGCTCCCCCTCCCCGTCTCTAACCCCAGAAGAGTCTCATTGAGAAGACATGAGTTAGAGACCAGGTGTCCACATTTTTTTTAAATTAAATTCCACTGGGAATTCTGACGTCCAGGGTTTGCTTGAGCCCCTCACTGTTCTTAATCAGAAAACACTGGGACATGTGGGCAGGGCCCAAGCTCTCCTGTGAATTAATTAAGTGTTGAGGAAAGGGCTCCTGTTGCTTTAGCCACCTCTAGCTCAAAGCTCAGAAAGCTGGCAGCTGTGCCCAGAACCACGGGATCGTCGTCCAGGACTTCCTGACCTGCCTGTGACACAGGGTACCCTCCTCCGTGTGGACCGGCCACAGTCTGGCCGTGGGGCTCAGTGGACACACATGTTAGCAGCTGCTTATCTCGCTTGGCTATTTCAAGGGCAGTTGCTTTGCCAATGCCGTTTCCTCCAGTGACCAAAAAGACTATTCCAGGAACCTGGACCTCCAAGTCATGAGGGACAAAGTCTTTGGACGAAGATTCATAGCCACTCCCAGAAACAGCAGACCCACGGGAAGACCAGCTATAAGGAGAGGGGAACATAAACCCCTGAAGGAGAAAGCCTAATTCTAGGATGGCATTATTGCCGTCTCTGCCTCTCCCAACACATCACGAAACTCCTTTCTCCCTCGCCCTCCCTGCTCTCATGAACACCACCATCGCAGGGCCTGCATTTCCTGGACCATGATCTTCCCAAACTTTTGAAAATATTGGAGATTCCAACATTTTGGCATCCAAATTGTCTTCCTCTGACTGCCCCAATCCTGGGGAGTGTCAAAAAGAAAAAAATCCCTTCACAGATGAATTGCTCTTTTCCCTTTTGTGGGGGGCAGGTTTCGGGAAGTTTAGGAGACCATCTGCATTATGCTTATTGCATTGCAGGACAGATATCCTTGCCTACTTGGAGAAATGGGGGAGATTTGCAAGTAGGGAATAAAGGAGGAGGACGGTGGAGTTATTTAAGCTCTGCACCCATCAGAGGAAGCCAAGGCTCCTTCAGGGACACAGGGTGTGCACTGAACAGCTCTAGGGAGTGCCATTCGGATCAGAATGATGGGAGATTTGTATCTGCATTATGATAATGTTCTGGCAGGTGGCAGAAAAGCATATTGCAGAAGAGGTATTTTTTCTGATTTGCACAAAGGCATCATATTGGATAGATGCAACCGTGAGTTCCTTAACTGTTTCTTTCTCCCATTCCTTTTGCAATACCTCCCTACCTTTACCCTTCCAGTATTTCCTGGCTATGAAATTGGCTGAGGGCAGTGGTGGCAGAATGGTGGGTTTGGCAGGAGGAGGCCCAGAGGGCACACTCTGCCCACGTACAGGCAGGCTGGGGTCTCAGAGCTTACTTATATCTCTCACCCATGGAGTCAAGAGATTTTTCCCCTGCAATGCAGAACAGGACTCTGATCGCAAGGCTCCACACATGCTGAGAGCCCTCCCACAGGACCTGTTTACAAACGGGTAGCTAACAGCTGGCCTCCTGCCCCATGCCCTGGTACAGCACAACTGCCAGTTACCTGCTCTGGAACTCGGGGAAGTGGCCAAAGGATGTTTATGAGCTTGGGTTTGGTTTGAAAGTCATTGCCACAGGGCAGGCATTGCCACTTGTTTCAGTCAAGCCAGATGTTCTTAAGAGAACAAGAAAAATGTTCCTGTTTTCACCATCTGTAACTCACCAGAACACGCAGGGCAGCTTAGAGAACACCCTACCCATTGCTTCTGCTGCGAGTGGCAAACAAGACTTCTTCCAAAGCCTTCCTGAAAGGTTGACTTGAAACTAAAAAATATCAATAACAAGGGCTTGGACTGAACAACCCGAATTTAAGTCACAGCTCAGCCTCTTACTAGCTGTGCAAACTTGTGTTGACTTAATCTTTCTGAGCTCTTATCTCCTCATCTGCAGAAAGGGAATAATATGAGATACCTCTTGGGCAGCCTAAATGCGATGCTGTGTGTAAGGCACTTATGACAGCACTTGGAACATATTAGGAGCTCAATAATTAGCAGTTGACATTATTATTATTATTATTATTTGAGACTAAGTCCCACACTGTCGCCCAGGATGGAGTGCAGTGGCGCAATCTCGTCTCACTGCAACCTCTGCCTCCCAGGTTCAAGTGATTCTCCTGCTTCAGCCTCCTGAGTAGCTGGGGTTATAAGCGCCTGTCACCACGCCCAGCTGATTTTTGTATTTTTTAGTAGAGATAGGGTTTCACCATGTTGGCCACGCTGATCTTGAACACCTGACCTCAGGTGATCCACCCGCCTCGGCTTCCCAAAGTGCTGGGATTACAAGTGTGAGCCACCACGTCCAGACGACATGATTATTATCACTATTAATAATGACAGCACCTTCCCTGTTCAAACTTGAGCTCATTTGGCCCCCAAGTCTTCAAATCAGTAGGGACTTTGAGAGCATTTTAAACTACAAAGAGGAAACTGGAAGATTTTTTCCCCCCATACACAGACGTGAGCCCGGGAATCTCTGTGAAAGACTTTTCCGGTAGAGGCAAGGGCCTGAGTCATTGAATAGGGGCTTAGCTAGGAGGAGGCATTGTGGGGAATGAGTGAGAACTTCGCAAATACAATAGAGCCAGAAAAAAAGCAGTCCACAGGGAATAGGCCTGAAGAGCCCTTCTCCAGGGGCAGGAAGCTGACAGGCTTTTCTCTGTGATACCCAGCCAGAGGGGCCATTAGCCTCTGGGCTCCACGTTGATCCGAATGTTTGCTGAGCGTGGCTCCTCTGGGTTAAACCTCTTCCTCAAACTCCATGCTGGGAGTGCTGCCAGGCGGGCAGTATCAGCCTGGCCTGCAGGACATGTCCCCGCCCTCTGTCCTCTGCCTTGGATCTTGTCTTAATACAAGAATTCCATCCTGGTCTGATCTGTTGTTAAAAAGACTTGTCTTTTATGTACTCTGCCCCTTACTGGGGAAGCAGTTTATTTTCACAAACTCTAGATATCAGTCTCTCTTTTTCAAACACACACATACATGACTTTCCCAAAGTCACCAGAAGGTAGGTGATGAAGCCAAAGGCTGGGTGTTCCATTCTTCAACACCCAGCCTCGGTGCCAAAGGGCAGTCCCCAGACAAGCTGCATCAGCATCACCTGGAAACCTGTTGGAAATGCCCTGCCTACTGACTCAGAACTGCTTGCTTGGCAACCTGCGGTTTCATGTGCCTTGCCCATGATTTTGATTCAAGCTGAGAGGGCATTTGTACTTACTGTTTCCTGAACCTGAGGTGACAGGGATGGGGAGGGGGAAGCTGGCAGGTATCCGTGTCTCCCCACACCCTCAATTTACCCAAATATGGAATTTGCTTAGGACCCATCCACACTTGCCCAGGGTTTAGAAGTCTGTTTAAAACTGCCCCAGGGAATTATTAGGTTCAGCAAAGTTGAGGAAACTGATTAGATCCTCCTGCCTAGGAGCCCAATAAAGGGAGGCTTTATAAAAATCCTTGTGCCAAGAGAAACGCTGTAAACTCTAACTCCGCGCTCTCACACTGAAGTCAAAATAAGGTTGTTGTTTTTCTATCCCATTCACTAAATCCACAAGAGCAGGAAAACCCCTAACTTTGCCAGCCGCCTTCCCCTCCCCTCCCTTCCCCCACCAATGTGTGGTGAATTGGGCCCCTTGGCCTCACTTCTACCTTCCCTCAAGGTGGGGTAACAGAGAGAAAAAGTCCTCAGAGAGATTTTTACAGCCTGCTTTCCTTGGGGCCCACCCCGGCTTGGAAACTAACGCAAGCTTTCATGCTGTGTAATGTGGAAAGATCCAGCAATTAATGGTCATTGCCAGAGGACACCCCTTTGAAAGAAAGAGGCTGCCACTGTACTCCCCTAAAAACAGTGGGACAGGGCGCACGGCTACACTCCCCACCATTCTCTGCAGCAGGGGCTCCTGAGGCAGAGCTGAACTCTCCCCAAAACGATGTGGGGTGAAGAGAAGGGAGTTGCAACTCCTACCTCCCCTAAGAATGCTGGCCAGGTTGCCGTGGGAACTGATAACGCCTCAGTGACGGGAGAAGCCTCTCAGAGGTGAGAATCACCTGGGGGATTTGGATGAAACGCCAGTCCAGGCACCTGTGCAGACCCACTGACTCAGAATCTGTAGGGACGGGGGCCTGAAAACTGGGTACTTTTAATTCTCGCCCAGTGATTCTGATGTGCAGACAGGGTTGAGAACCAACGGTTAGCCTAATCAATTCCAAGAGAAAACCTCCATCTGTCCTCCGTCACAGGAACCTGTCACCTCTTAAAACAACAATGAGGTGGAGAGCCAACTAGGGCACACTGAGCGTGATCACGGGGCGACAAAAGCACCACGCACTGTTCCCCAGAAGCACACACTGGGTGCACGGCCACACTGGCTGGAGACCCAGGCTGGAAAGTTCCAGCTGGAGCCAAAGGTCGCAGTCCAGGTGCCGCATCTTCGTAAAGGAAACACACCCAAAGGTACGAGGACAGAGCCTGGGCTAGCGACTTAGATCCAGCCCTATCTGAGGCCGCCAGCAGCACCACGAAGACATTTCCAGGAGCACACCCCGCAGGGCGCCGAGGTGACGCCCAGGACTCTCGTTGGCTCCAGGGCCGCCTGACGTCAGTGGGGCGGCCCTGGGCCTGGGCGCGCCACAGTCCCGCCCCTCGGGCGCCAGTCTCGGTCGCGGGCGTTGAGGGGCTGGAGTCTGGCGACCGCCCCACGCCCAGCCGCGGACCAGCAGAGGGCAGGCGCCCCAGTCGTTCTGGACTCGCTTAGTCGGCCCAGCGAGACGGCGAAGGAGCCGCGGGCGCGTCCCCGCCAACCCCGCTAGCCCGCGCCTAGGCGGGCCACGTGACAGCCCGGGGCCCGCGCCCCGCCGCGCCGCCTTACTTGGTGTCCTCGCGCAGCCCCTTGGTGAACCACGCGACGCTGCGGTACAGGGACATGGCGGGCGCGCCGCACGCCGAGCCCCGCCGCGCTCCCGGCGCGGCCTCCGCCCCGGTCCCGCCCCGCGGGAGTCGCCCGCCCTTACATCATCCCGGTTATGTAAGAGCCGCGGCTTCCGGGACCTTGCTCCACCAGGAAGGCGAGGGGTCTCGGGGCCAGCCGGTCGACTCCGCCCCAGCCTCAGAGGGTGGAGTGAGGGCGGACCGGCCCTCGTGGGGGCCACAGTCGAGGTCCGCAGTCTCCTCGGGGTTGAAATCGGGCATCAGTGCCGTTTAGAGAACACCGTCCTGCTGGGCATGGCCTGGATGCGAAGATGGCCCTGCAACGCACCTCCGAGAATTTGGTGACCTAGAAAACCATGTGGAATAAAACGACGAGGCTTACGATATTTAAAAGACTTCTGCATCGAATTGGTGTTAAGGGTTATTGTAATAACTGGCATTCTCTAAGTTCCTACATGTGTTGGGGGATGCAGTGCCCTGCCACATTTCCCGTCTCCAGCAAGCGCAGTCAGATTGGCGACATCGCAGGCAAGAGGCAGGGCTGGGGCTCCCACCCGAGAAGTAATTGTCTCCAAAGTCTGAACTTTTGCCACTGGTTCTGCGACTTCATGCAGTGCCAGGGAGAGCCCCTTGATTTCCCCCAAATCCTCATCAGCCTCCTTCCACCCAAGCCCAAATGAACAGTGTGAGTAAAAGTGTGGTTGCTGCGTGAACCCAGATCTCAGACTAGTAATCCAGCCCCCTTCCAGCCCCGCTATGTAGGACTCAGACACCCCTGTCCACATCTAATCTCCAGCCCTAACGCCACATTAGAAATGGGGGTCTTACTGCTGCTGTCACTGCTAGTCACCCTGTTAAATTCTATACCGGTTTACCCAAGTCGCTCAGAGACTGGGTCCCACTTACATAAGCTGAACAGAGACTAGCTGCTTTCATAGCCTCATTACCTAGGATATAGGATCACTGTCCAACCTCACCCCGCAGTGGGCAAGTTTTACTTCAGAATAACTTTTGAAATAAATTTCCCCAGAACAGCTCGCCCCTCTGAACAGGACTCTGAGGCTCCACTACGTTTGCTGTTATTCCTGACAGAGTGATGACATTTAAACAAGTGGCGTTTTGTAAAACCACCCAGCCTCGTGTGACGTTCAATGCCTGTCCGATTTGGCTCAGAAAAGCCAAATTTTAGATCCCCAGGGCTACATACTGTTTTTAATACACTCATCTTTGTGTCAGTGATGGAAAAGGTGTCAGTCTGCTCTGAATCTCTCTGACCACCTCAGGAAATAGGCTTTTGGCTCACAGAGCGGGGATGAGAAATAGTTTTGAACCACCACGTCTCTTGGAGGGTGTCAGCGGCCCCTTGAAGTAAAAGTGTGGCTGGAAACCCAGCTCTCTGCATTAGCCAGGTGAACCTGAGCATGCTGCATACGCCCTCAGTCTTGGTTTTTTAATGTGTAAAATGGGAATGAATATGCGCACCTCGTGGGGTGATTGTGATGATTAAAGGCATTCATTATAAAGAGCTTAGTTTCATATGATGTGATCAGAAGTGTTCATTTCCCTCAAGTTTTCTTCTCATTCCTTTCTCCCCTATGCTTACAGCCACGCAGTGTACATTCAAGAAAGGTTCCATGAGGGCATGAGGTGTCCAGTGTTAGCCTCCAATCAAGCATCCATGAGGTAGTTCATGTATACATTATATACATTTAAAGAGCAGGTCTTAGGAAAAGCCAACCCCAGTCTCAGAATGAGCTTCCGCTCTCACTTGGATGCCAAGTAACACACACAAAGAAACAAAGGGCAGTATGGAGTTCATAGAGGAATCTTCCGGTTTAACTGGAGTCAGCTGAGCTGGATTCTAATCCAATTTCTGCCAGTTATTCCCTGTGTGACCCGTGTGATAAAATGTATAGAAGGCTTAAAGTGTGCCAAGCATTGTGGATTATAGCACTTAATTCTCACACTGATCCATATGGTTACTCTTGCTATTATCCCCATTTTATAGATGAACAAACAGAGAGAGGTTACATGACTTGACTCAGGTCACAGTAAATACACGGTGGAGCCAGGCTTTGAAGCCAGGTAGTACGATTCCAGAGTCCACACCTTCCCTGCTGCACCATACTAAATGGGGGCAAGTCAGCCGCTGGGCCTCACTTTTTCTCATCTGAACAAAAAAAGGGCCAGACTAGGTGACATCCGGGGCTCCTTTTAGCTCCAACTTTCTATACATCTAATAAGAAAATTACGGATGTTAAGTAAGTTAGGCCCAGGGTGCTTTTAAGAGAAACGTCAAAATGGGCAGGATTGCTTCATTTCCCATAGGTGGAAAGCTACTAAAATATTTCTTCTGTGTTCCTGGTTCCAATTTGCCACTCAAAAAGCCAAACAAAGAAATCATCCTCCAGAGTTCCCTTCCAATTGATTTAGATCCCTGAGGCTAATTTTGACCACATTGGAAGGAGAAGCAGAAGGTGTGGAAATCCATGGCTTTCTGCACAACAGATACACATGATGAGAAGTCTGTATCCTCTCACACACACACACACACACCAGTGTTCATATCGCCTTCCACTGAAGCTCATACCAGTTCCTCTAGCCAAGTTGTCATGGCAACACCAGCTGCCAATGAGATCATGGAAGACAAGGTCATAATGGTAATGGTACCTTAATATTTTACCTGGCAAAGCCACTTAGTTAATAAGATGAATAACTATAAATTGTAAACTCATAGGAAGCCAGGCACCATTCATGTACATGTTTAGTGGGCAATTGGGGGTGGGGAATGGAAATGACAGCAAAGGGAAAGGAACAAAAAGGAAGAGAGGATGAGGCAGAGAGTGGGGAAGAAGGTCTCTGATGCTGATCCTTATTTTTCAGTGTGGACCATGCACAGGTGCTGACCCTGCCTGTACATGGATTAAGGAACTGAGCTCTTCCTAATGACAAGAAGTGGGGGGCGGGTCATGGCATCCCAGCCTCTATCACAAAAGCCTTATCAGAAACCCAAGGCGACTGCTTTCTGGCATTCACTTCTAGCAGAGGAGAGCAGCAGCCCAGGGAAGAGGTACGTGGTAGACACCAGTCCGCCCTCCTCCCCACTCCACAGCTGACACACTCACCGTGTAGAAAGGTCCTTCCGGCTGCCTCCCGGTGTCCCTTGGTGCCCATCATCCTTTACAGACTGGCTCGCCCCAGGGCTGTCTGTTGCCCATCTGAACCAACTTCCTACCGAACAAATCAATTTGATTTAGGGGTTTCCTTCCTTTCACAAGAAACTAATCACAGCGTGGGCCTCTGGCCAGAACTTTGGCAGTGGGGAGCCGAGGCGGGAGACAGACCCAGCTTACTTTGAATGCCTTCTGTGCCATTGAGTTTTGTACCATGTGCGTGAATCACTTACTTAGATTTAAAACACGCAGAGAAGACCCTTCTTTCCCCAGCCCTGTGCACCCTCCAAGGACTGCAGACATTGGCAGTGAGATGGGTCCAAAGTGGGGCAGTAGTGAAGCCAGGGTGGTTAGCCTTCATATAGCCAAGTTGATGGGGAAAGTGATTTTCCACAAACGGGACTCGTGTTCGTCTTAAACTCTCATGCAGCCTGCGTCCAGGGCTTCCGTTTTACAATAAGCAGGTTCTGTTTTGAGTGCAAAAGCCGTGGGCTTTCTCTAGTGGTGCCTGGGGCAGGAGTAGCGCAAGAGCATGCAGGCTGCTTGGTGAGGTGGTTGTAGCTCGCCTTACCCACACTCTCTGTACTACCTCACACCCACCGCTGGCCTCAGGAGAAGGGCCACCTACACAGGCGGGAGAGGGATGCAGACACAAGGTGAGAACTGGGATAGAGTGTCAGAAGGCCCACGTTCAGCTCTGAGGCATCTTCAGAAAAGACACTTTACCTCCGTGAGCCTCAGTTTCCCCTCTACAGAGGAGCATAACTATACAGTCCTCATAGCATTGTAATGAGGGTGAAATAAAGAATATTTTCTTTTAACAAATACTTATGCTTCACCTACTATGTGCCAAGCATTGTTTTAATCTCCTTACAAATGAAAACAAGGCACAGAGAGTTTCAGTGGCACATCCAAGATCACATGCATCTGGAAAGGGGCACAGCCAGGATCCCAGCCTGACAGTCGGGGTTCAGATGCCACACGCTTAACCCCTTCTCTGGAAGGGTGAGGGATGTGTCCCATGGTGGCGTCTCCTTGTTTCTTCTTTTAGTAACTTTTGTGGGACTAGAAATTTCCACTACTGTCCCCTCCCCTTTTTTGGTTGGTTGATTTGTTCTTGGGTGTGACGGGGTAGCTTATAATTCCCACAGTTTTTCTACCAGCATTGCTCCCACTCCCAAACCCACTAAGCCTGTGGCACTCAGAGCTGGGTGCTGAGCACTGCAGTCACTAAGAGTGAGACTGGGTTTGCAGCATGGCCCTGCGTATGCATAGAATGACCAAATGACCCCACACTGGCCAGCTATTTAATATAGAGCAACTGTGGAGGCTTGGGAGGACTGAGGAATACTTATTTTTATTTTTGACTATGGTAAAATACACACAACATAAAATTTACCATTTTAACCATTTTTAAGGGTATAGTTCAATATTAAGTACATTTACATTGCCACGCAACAATCCATCTTCAGAACTTTTTCATCTTACCAAACTCAAACTCTGTACCCATTAAACAAGAACTCCTCGTTGACCCCTTCCCCAGCCCCTGGTAACCACCATTCTACTTTCTGTCCCTATGAATTTGACTACTCTAGGGACCTTATCTAAGTAGAATCACACTTTGCCTTTTTGTGGCTGGCTCATTTCAGTTAGCGTCATGTCCTCCAGGTTCATCTATGTTGTAGCAAGTTTCAGAATTTCCCTCTTTTTCAGGGCTGCATAGTGTTCCATTGCGTGTATACACCACATTTTGTTTATCCATTCATCCATAGATGGACACTTGGATTGCTTCAATTTCTTAGCTATTGTGAATAATATTACTATGAACATCAGTGTGCAAATACCTCTTTAAGACTCTGATTTCAGTTCTTTTGTGTGTA